GATAAGTATAAATAAGGATACGATAAGGATACGATAAGGATACTATAAAAACCTCAGCAAAATTGCTGTGCAGCAGTTGCAATACAAGGTGTGAAGAGTGTAAATATAAAAAGTCTAAAATAACAATAAGTTGCAGATCCAAAACATATAAAATAAATAACTAGTTGGGTATTTGTGAGTGTGAATCTATTTCAACAGTTCCCTGCTGTTGAAAGAATCAAAAGAATGAAGCTGAAGGTTTTGAACTCGTACCTCCCGCCTGGCCTGCCGCTCTTTATCCTTCTCAGCACGGACCCTCTGCTGTTCGGATCGCTCGTTGCGACGCTTCTCCTGAAAATACAAAAATCAACACGCTGCAACGTTTCTGACAATTAAACTTTATTTTTGGGGGTTATTTCCACATATCTGGGACAGCTAAAGTATATATATATATATATATATATACATACTGTATATGCATGTTATCAAGTGCATGTTAAATGTGTATTTTTTGTTTGGGTAAAATCTCACAATTCTGTCTTTGAGACCGAGGAGCTCCTCCTCCTCTTTCTTCCTGCACTCGAAGTGAGCGTCGATCAGCGACTGCAGCTCGGCCAGGTCTTTGTTCTGACGTTTCTTCTGCATGTCCTGTAAGAGGTGGACAGAAGACGGCTGTCACTAACAAACTTTAAATCTGTGTGGATTTAAAAACACGGCTTCAGAAAAGAACAAAACTCACTATTGTTTAGTCCAACTAACAATCCAAACCTGAACGTTATTAAAAACCAAACAATGATCAAAATAGTTACCAACTCATTATTTATTTTTTTATAGACTCTTCATGTTTTATTTTTTTTACCTTAATTTGTAAAGTAACTAAAGCTTTCAGATAAAGATAAACAGTGGAGTGAAAAGTGCAATTGTTCCCTCTGAAATGTAATACAGTAGAAAAAGAAAGTGGCATGAAAGTAAACAGTACAAGTACCTCAGAATTTGTACTTAAGTGCAGTACTTGAGTAAATGTACTTAGTTATATTTGTATGTAAATGCCGGAGGGCTGAGGAGGGAGAACTGACAATTAAAAACAAGTCGACTTACATCAAAGTCCACTTTCTCTCCGTCGGGGATCTTTGGAGCAGACGGCCTGTTGAAGGAAAATAACATTCAAATTATAACAACGAGTAACTTAAAGGGATGTTGTGTAGAATATGGTGACATCTAGTGGTGAGGTTGCACATTGCAACTAAAAACTCATCGGTTCACTCCTTTCTTTTCAAGACTGTGGTTACGTGAGCCGCCCGGTGCCAAACCGCGGTAACGTCGTTCGCCTCACACCTCGCTATGGTAAGGCCATCCTTACCCAAGCGATGGAGGCACCACAACACGGCTCACGTTACCACAGTTTCACAAGCGTGTCAGATAGCTACGGTGGCCTTCAGGTAACATAAAAACCACAGACTGTAAATAAGAAGTGAACGTAGTCATGGTGACGTCACCGATTGGTTTGTGGGCTGATGTTTTGAAGACTCTGGTTCGGCAATTTGGCCGTCGCCATCTTCGATTACAGCCGTCGCTATGTTGTTGTTTTTGCAGCCAATGAACAGGAAGTGACCATATCTGGACTGAGGAGGAGTGATGTAGAGACGCTGTATACGTCTCTGATAGAGACCTGTCAATCACTGTAAGCCCCGCCCTAAAGCATCCCCTGCTTTATGGTCTGTTTGACTC